TTCAAATATAGGATATATGTGCCATTTTCTTTTCGACTATTCATGAACGTCTTAGCACTGACATGCAGTGCATGTAATCCGCTACTGTATACGCTATTTTCAAAAAAATTTCGTAGCAAAATTTTTGGCCTACTGGCGTGCAGGAAACAAGAATCTAGGCGAGTCCGAAGCGATATAACAAATTCGACAATCCGAATTCGTGTTACAGCAATGAATGAAAAGGAACGGTTTTTAAACAATGGTACAAAAGCCAGTCGATGACATATTAGGCAACCAATTTGTATGTGCGTTTTTAACTCACCTTAAGAACATTTACGAGTTGATCTTAGCTTAAAATTTAGTCTGTGCAAAAGCTTAATTTTAATTTTAATTTATATGCACTCTAATTTGCTGAGATATGTTTTTACTGAATTGTTTCTGCTCAGTTTTTACTCTTATTTTTTTTTTCTTGTTTGCTTATATGTTTTGTTTATTTTTCAGTAGTTTCACCATTGTGTGAGCATATCTTTTAAAAAAAATTTAGCTTCTGTGTTTTTAAAAAAACCAAAAGTTTTTGCGTACAAATGAGGATAAATTTGAAACCGATCTGTTTTTAGTTTTTTTATTTGTTCAATATGCTCCAGTTGAAAATACTGAACAAAAAATAGAAGTGATTCGATGGTAAGCAAAAAAATTTTTTGGACTTAGTCTTTTTTTTTTTTTTTTCTGCTATAGTGGAATCAAAACATTGATTGGCAGAAAAACTTTTTTAAAAGATTAAAAAGCTATCAAAATGATAAGTAAAACATTGTTCTAAGACCAAAAATTTTCTGGCTTCTTTTTTTTTTTTGCCTTCTTATTTCATCGTCTTCTGTGCGTGCATATACGTTAGGTGATTGGAATCAGAGCTATTTAAAAAAAAAAAACGGAAAGACTTTTTGAGACCAAATATTGAAGATTTATCATACATAAGCTGTTTCCTTTTTTTTTTTTTCAACTACGCTAAGTTGTATGTCATATAGGCAAAAAAAAATTTTTGCAATTGCTAAAGAATCCTTGTATCAAGGCATAGTGAAAAGCTAAACTTAGATTGACTCTATGAGTCAGAAATTTGATAGTTGCACTATTGTTTTTTTTTTTGGATATCCAAAAATGTTGTTGTTACTTGTCTTTTCGTTTCAAATGTGTACCTCTGAACAGTTTTTTTTTTTTTACATTTTACAAATTATCATTTGTTTACTGGTTAAAATATTTGTCTATCCAACTGTGTTTATTTTTATTTTTTTTTTTGAAATTTTAATTTTAACTTCAAATTTGTTAGGCTTTATCTGTTAAGCTATTGTTTCAATCAGTTATCTCTGTACAATTATTTCTTGGCCTCTTTTTTTTTCCTTTGCAACATTTCTTTGACAGTAATTAGAGGAATCTCAAATTAAATTTGATAATTAAAAAAAAGGTAGTAATATATCAAAATTTGAAAAAAGAAAAAAACTGGCAGCAACAAAGCAAAGAAGTGAGACAAAAAGTGAGTATTTAAAATATCAAAACAGAAAACAGAACAAAAACTGCAAAAACTTTAAAAATATTTGCTCTGTTCTCACAGGTCTCTTTTTTTTCTTTGTTTTTGCTTTAACAGTTCAACAAAGAAAATACAACTGATTACTTTTTTAATAATAGCAGCAGTAGTACCAATAGTTTCAGTAATAATAACAGTAAACAAAGAATGAGGAAAAAGACAAGTGATACTGCTTGTTAAATTCTTATGTGCCATGGCTTCTTTTTTTTCGTCTTCTTCTTCTTCTTCTTCTTCTCCTTCTTTATTTTGACATAGAACTGTTATTAGACAGACGAAATAGTTCAGTGTTGTTCCTTTGTCATGGATAAATGAAGATTTTTATGATATTTATACATACATATATACATACATTTATTATTTGTTTATGAGGATAATCAATAAATATTAATTCACTTTACACTTTTTTTTT